CCAGCTGTATTTGTGTTTGGGAAAAAAAGCTTCAAACTCCCCCGAAACCCGTGCCTTGGAGATAAACATTTTTTTGGAGTTTTGAAATGCATATTTCTGTGGCTTGTTTATCCAAATATTTGTTAAAATTGATGTTTATGACAGATAGGAATTCTAATTTTTTCGGAGGGTTGTAGAGGGGTTTTGGAAATTATTTAAAAAATATTCCCCAAATTTGTTTGCCACAGATGCACACAATATGCATTCAAATGAATTGAGTGGGGACTACACTTCCCTTCCCCTTGGTAATTGTGCATAATTAAATAAATATGTTTTTAATAAATTCTCTCTGCAAGAGAAATTTTAATGAAGTTGTGATAATCTACAAATGATGTCATAAAGAGGAACTACATAATAATTTTAATTTTTTTAGAAACATGAAGTACATAATTCAAATTGAGGGGCATTCGAATGTTCGTCGTTCATTTCTTTCCAAAAATGATAAATAATTAGAACATAAAATATTTTCATATTGCCTCCCTTATTCATGGCTGTTTTTGTTGAGCAAAAAAAATTCCTGGGTAACTTTTCCCCTTTTTAAAAATTTCAATTTAGTGCACATTTTGTAGCTGCGTTTTAGGCATAGCTGCATTGCAAATGTGTCCATTTTCCAAAAATTTAGTTCCAACTGTCCAACTTGTATTTCTGGTTTTAAAATCCCACAAAGTTTAGCTACAACTTTGAAAATATTTTGGGTACGTAACTAATATTTAAGATATCTGCTTCATTGTGAGGATAAGTGAGTTAAAGCTATATACATTTTGGGTATACCTTCACTCGATTCTCTGAAACTTTTTTTTATATTTGAAATCATTTAATTCTTCGGGTCTTTTTGGGTTTTTGAATTATATTTATTTAACTAATTGTGTTTTATTGGGCGCCATTTAATTTTTTTTTTATAGCCAGTAAATGAGTGATCATTCTCTCACGAGAGAGAGAGAGATACACTTTGCATAGACAATCACGTGTTAAGAGAACTATTTGGCAATGCAAATTCCTTGATAATTTAATTTTTTTGAGCCATAAACCGTCTTAGATGGCAATTTACCTTTATAACCTCTCTTCTAAATCAGTAGACTTTAATAATCCCTTTTTGGCACATTGTATTGACATAAGATTTAAGTTTCATTAACGTCAGTGTCAGCAATAGAGGTATCTACAAAATATTATCTTTTCGATAACAAAAAAAGTCCCCAGAGGAATTGGGCAATTTTGTGGTTGGCATTTATGTTTCAAGCAGATCATGTGAAATATTTAGCAAATATTTCGAAACTTCCCAAACCAAAAAAAAAAAAAACATTTAAATAGAGCATCATCATCATTACCACATTCATCTTGAGATTTCCACTTTATCTCCGATAAGATAAGTAAATCATGAAAAAAATATTATTTGTACAAGTCTAAAATAAATTGCAACTAACAAGACCAAATAGCGACAAGATAATGTTTAAGCGAGTAAGGTAAATATTGTAAAGTTAAAAAAATAAAAAAATAAAATATTCCACATGGAAAAATAGCTTAATATCTTGTTCGTACACAACACCGGTTTATGACAGGGAATAGCACACAACTGGCTGGACAAAGAAAAACAACTCCGATTGGCCCAGAAACACACAAGTAACAAAGTGTTGTAAGTCACCTTTTGGATGCGTGGATACACTGAGAAAATCTCGAGGGTAGTTTGAGATAAAAATTGGAAATTTTAAGGAGATAGCATAAAGTTGAGACCCACCCATTACTTCCAAGCGTAATGTAATGCGTTCGGTAAGGAGTGATCATAACCACATGCAAATGCAATAGGGAGAATGTAAAGACAAAAGGATGTGAAACTTTAAAGATGGCAGCAACAAGATGGAACCTATTCATTACTTTTCACCCATCAAGTAATGTGTTTGGTACTGCTTACATACATTAGGGATGTAATGAAAAAAGGAGGCAACATATAGTAAATTGTTAATGGAATTTGCATTGTTTCAAATTTAAAAAATAACGTAAAGCCCGAAAATATATTTAAGGTGATTCCAAAAGAATCGAATTTGTAATTAGAACGTAAAACATAGGGTAGGGTAAGAACGTGATACATAAGGTTGTAATCATCTGATGAAGCAAAGATATGCCGAGGAAATTATGGAGATTATAGGCAATAAAATATGTAGTTCATAAGAAGATCTCACAAAGATGAGATCCTCTCATTATTTTTCATCGAATAAGTAAGGTGTTCGGTAATGCAAAGACAATGAGGACGTAAGGCAAATATTGTATGGAAAATATTCAAAATTAATTTTAATTTCAGTTAAGTTTTAGAAGAAATTATGTAGGTAGTATAGCCTCAGGTATGGGGTCCTCTTATTATTTTTCATTGGTTAAATAATGCATTTGGTAATACAAAGGTAAATAGAAAGAAAGGCAAATATTGTTAAGCGATGTGAAAATATTCCAAATTCAAAAAATTGTATGTATTTTAAATATATTCAAAGAGATTCCTTAGAAATGGTATTCATTTATTATTTTTCAACGAAACGTAATGCATTCCGTAATGCTAGTTTTTATCACTCTATGAGGCGTAGATATATTGAGGAAGCTATGACGGCTGTGGGCAATACAATTCTTAGGTTCTTAAAAGGATTCCACAAAGATGAGATCCTTTCATTATTTTTTATCGAAAGAGTAAGGTATTTGGTAATGCAAAGGCAAAAAGCAAGTAAGGCAAATATTACTGAGAAAGTATTCAAAATTGGTAATAATCCTAATTTCTGTTAATTTGTTGAAATTTTAAAGAAGATTCCTTAAAGATGGGATCCAAATTTGAGAATTTTAAGAAGATTTCTTCAAGATGGGACCCATTTGTTAGCTTTGATTGAAATGTAATGCATTCCGTAATGTTAGTTTTAATCACCCAATGGGGCGTAGAAATACTGGGAATGTTATGGAGGCACTGTCCAAACAAAATATGCAATTTTTAAGATAATTTCTCAAAGATGAGACCCGCCCATTATTTTTTCATCAATGAGGTAATATGTTTGGTAATGCCAATTTATGTTTGGTAATAAAATCAAAATATTTAAATTGAAATTTGATATATTTGGTAATTATAGTTTAAAGCTTTACAACGTAAATGTGAAGTGAATGGTAATGGCTGAGTTGAAAATGAATCTCCTATTATTTGGCACCAAAATGTAATGACTGATGTAATCACAAAACATATCGCAAAGAAATTATGAAGATTTAAATAATTTTTTTATTTTTTCCTTTTTAATTTCCCCCAAATTTTGCCAGAAACAACTTGGTAAGTGTATGAGCTGAATAACCCATTACAAGGTAAGGTAAACAAACTATAATTTGCAGTACCAACAGAATTAACATTTTTTTCATAAAAAATAAAGGTGTAACATAGTTATATTCCTCATTACCAAGTAGTGAGTAACGATATCGTAGAGGGTGTGCGTCCAACTACAGAATTAAACGTCGTGTGTTTGAAACTCAATGTCGCCAAAGCAAAGAGAAAAAATATAAAATAAGAAAATTTCTTGAGGCTTTTAGACTTTAAACAAGCCTTTACGTTCGCTTCAGTTACAGAACCAGAATATTGTGAGTTCAATACTAGTAGTGGTATACAAATTTGTATTACAAAAAAATTTTAAAAAAATTTTCTCTCCTATTTTTGGACTTTAAATGACCTGCTACTGATTTGGGATGGCATATGGAATGGGTAGGTATGTATATTTGTAGTTTGACTTTGAATTGTTTTAGAACCTCGCATTACTTGGTAATAGGTTTTTTGCAGCTTAATATATTATTGCCCCAATAACACCTAGAATTCCCCCGTCTGAGAATCGCAGCTCAAAATATTTTCCCATAAATCTCATGCTATGTTCGGCGCTTAAAAGTGAAAAGCATTTAAGTGTCTCCCTTTTCCCTTGGAATTCCATGAATTTTTCCTTGTGACAAATCTCGGCGATGTAACTTCGTTTTTTTTATGACAGTGTTTAGTGCAATATTTTACTGCCGCGATGATGACGCCGCTGGCATTGATGGCATCTTTGCAGTTCCTATGAATTTCCTTTTCAACCAGAATTGAAAGTAAGCTCTTTGGTAATGAATACGTGTTTTTTTTTTCCATTTCATTTCTATGTCATTCCCAGCAGTTTGATGCTAATCATGGGAACCTTTTACATGGGACAAGTTGAGTTGAGTTGATTTTTTTTTTGTAAAGGTAGACTCTTGTTTTTTTCTCGTTGGCTGTTACTCACAACAAAGCAAAGGCTAGGAAAAAACAAGTCAAGCATATTTCCGTTAAAAGCTGGCAACAAATTGCAACAGTTTTTTTTTGCCGGTCATGCCTTTATCTCTGTTAACTCTTTTAACAGGTTTAATTACAAGGCATAATTTTTTGTTGTTGTTGCTGCTACTGGTTTTTAATCTTTTTCGTTTTTTGTCAAAGAAATTGTGTTTTTTTTTATATTTTTTCTTCTTCTTCTTAAGAAATTTCCCTCATAAAAAGGGTCAAAACATGGAAATTATGAAAGTTATCTGTTTATGATTTCGCCGGAATCTTGCTGGGGTCACATAAACTTTGACATGAGTAATGAAATTAGTGACATGTTTTTTTTCCTGGCTAACATTACTAACCTGAATTTTATTTTTAAGAACGACAAGTAAAAATTATTGTCTTAAAAAAACAGAAAAAAATATTAAAAATAGAACAGCTGTTTTACTTTTACGACTTTACTTCGGAACTCCTGGGAGTGCCATATTTACGGCCACAGCTTTTAACAAATCTCCCCTATAATTATGTTCCATAATAACTTTAGAGGCTTAAAGCCTATCACAATTTCAAATCTCAAGCTTGGTACTTAATTATATTTTGAAATATCTCATATTACGGCGGCAAATGTTTTGAATCTCTACTCCAAGATAGGCTTATTCGACAAAAAAAGTATTTGAAATGATTTTCCACTTACCTATTACGATAAAATTCATAAGAATAACTACTGCCGCTATTGTGGCTGTTGCCATTGGATTTTGGCCCAGTTTTAGTTTGCCTATGGGCCCCATACTGCTGCTGCCGCTGCTTCTGTTGTTGTTTTTGTAGACTTTGTTGATTGGTGGCTGGCCGCCTTGCTGATGTGGTGTGGTTTGGTTCGGTTCGATATTATTTTTAACTAGATTTTCTATTTGAGTTTTAATATTTTTTTTTATTTTATTCGGAGCCAACAATCAATTTGTTTGATTTCGGCAAATTTTCCGCGTTTAGAAAAACTTTTCAAAAAAAATTGCAAAAAATTGGATGATACACTTTATTTACATTTGCTAGTTTGCAATTCGTCGGAATCAGGTAAGTTTTTAACTTTTAATAGAAATGGTAACAAAAAAACACAAACGGCAGGAGTGTTGTTGTTTTTGTTGCTTTTGTGCAAATAAATTGGAAAATTTTCAATTGGTTTTACTAAATAAATTGCACAATATATGTTGTTCCTAGGTGGGCTGAATGCTACGGCAACACGCGAAATCAAAGCCTGATTTCTATTGAATTAGTTGTCAAAAATTTGTTTATGATGTTGCACCACAATCACTGCAAAGAGAGGGAAAGAGAGAGAATTTGTTGAAATAAATTCTATTTGGCTAAATAAGAATGTAATGGATAAAGTACACACTAAAACACACACACACTCACACATATACTCGTACAAAATTATATATATATATATATTTTTTTTTTGACAAATAGCAAAAATTCAAAATCCTCTAAATAACAAATAAAATTTTGGTATGAATGTAAACAATTTCCATTTGATAAACTTCAATATATATTCAATGCACACAAGCATTCACACAACAAACCAAATATGAAAATATGTGCAGGCACAAATATTTGGAAAGATTATGAGAAAAAAATCTCTTCAGTGATGTTTTTCGTAAAGAAAAATATCATCAGTGATATTTTTTCCGTATAGAAAAAATTTCGTCAGTGATATTTTTTCCGTATAGAAAAAATTTCGTCAGTGATATTTTTTCCGTATAGAAAAAATTTCGTCAGTGATATTTTTTCCGTATAGAAAAAATTTCGTCAGTGATATTTTTTCCGTATAGAAAAAATTTCGTCAGTGATATTTTTTCCGTATAGAAAAAATTTCGTCAGTGATATTTTTTCCGTATAGAAAAAATTTCGTCAGTGATATTTTTTCCGTATAGAAAAAATTTCGTCAGTGATATTTTTTCCGTATAGAAAAAATTTCGTCAGTGATATTTTTTCCGTATAGAAAAAAATTCGTCAGTGATATTTTTTTCCGTGTAGAAAAAATTTCGTCAGTGATATTTTTTTCCGTATAGAAAAAATTTCGTCAGTGATATTTTTTTCCGTATAGAAAAAATTTCGTCAGTGATATTTTTTTCCGTATAGAAAAAATTTCGTCAGTGATATTTTTTCCGTATAGGAAAAATTTCGTCAGTGATATTTTTTTCCGTATAGAAAAAATATCATCAGTGATATTTTTTTTCCGTATAGAAAAAATATCATCAGTGATATTTTTTTTCCGTATAGAAAAAATATCATCAGTGATATTTTTTTTCCGTATAGAAAAAATATCATCAGTGATATTTTTTTTCCGTATAGAAAAAATATCATCAGTGATATTTTTTTTCCGTATAGAAAAAATATCATCAGTGATATTTTTTTTCCGTATAGAAAAAATATCATCAGTGATATTTTTTTTCCGTATAGAAAAAATATCATCAGTGATATTTTTTTTCCGTATAGAAAAAATATCATCAGTGATATTTTTTTTCCGTATAGAAAAAATATCATCAGTGATATTTTTTTCCGTATAGAAAAAATATCATCAGTGATATTTTTTCCGTATAGAAAAAATATCATCAAAATATCAAAAAAAATCACTGATGATATTTTTCATATAGAAAAATTTTATCTGTGATATTTTCTTTGTATAGAAAATATATCACCGGTGATATTTTTTTTCAAATCCTTTTTTGTAAGAAATTATACATTCCTTTGGAATTATCTTAGAAAACATAAACATATTTTTTATGAAAGCCTTTCGTATTTTCAATATTTTTATGAGACACACTCTCTCCTTGCTAATTAATAATTCTTCTCTTGCCTTCTTAAAAATCTTTTTAATTGCTCTTTTTTCTCATAATTAATATTCTCCCGGCATTTCTCCAATTTCCGTTTTGGTTGGATCGAACCTGGTGGTGGCTCCACAAACCAGGTGTGTTTTCTCCTGAAAACAATGTAAACAATTGATTTGTTTACAAATAATAATTTTTATTATCATCCAATGCTAATTAATTCCTCCTGATAATCAGATTTTAATTTCTTTTGTTCTGACTCCCAATCTGCAGTGAAAATCTCTCCAAGTGCGTGCCTAGCTTCAAAGAAATATTTAAAAATTCTTAAAGCATAACTTTCACACATTAATGTCAAACACTTGGAGGCCCGGTTTTATGAATATTTTCCTTGCAGAAGTTGTTGTTGTTGTTGGTCGTGAAGAGTGGTTATCCTTTTGTTTTGCATTATTTGCTGGTGATGTTGTGGTCGTTGTTGTTGTCGTTAGCAAACGGCACTTGTAACTGTGAGTGCAACATTAACTTGTTGTGGCAGCATTTCAGTTGTGAAGTGGTTTTCTATGTCTACAACACAACACCATGTTACTGTGGCGGCCTGGCTGGCAGGCTGGCAGGCTGGATGGCTGCATAGCTGGTCGGTCGCTCGGTCGTCTTGCATCATTAAACATTCCACAAACGTGTTTTGTTTTTGTGTTGAGTCTCTATGGTCGGCTGTGCAACCATCTGATTTCCGTTACCACCTGTATTATGAGAAATAACCAACGTTGCGAAGTCATTGCCTGGTTTGTGTGGTATGGGTCTTAGTCCCGGCCCGAGCTGCCGAAAGAAGAGCTGTCGCCAAATGCATTTGCCAGCCATTCATACTCGAATGCCTGCCGCAGGTATGAATGCCTTTGAGACACGTTTGAGGAATGTAAATGTTAATTTTGTAACGTACATTTTTTCTTGGTTGTTGTTAAAAATTAAGAGGAAATATTTCGACAATTTGAGGGGGGTAGGTCAGGAAGTTGGAGAGGATTTTAAGAAAAAAATGACAATTATTAATATTCATTGTTTTGAAGTTCAAAATTTTTGAATTTTTAAATAATAAATTTTTTCTCTGAAGATTTTATCTTTTCTTTTGGGGATTTTCAGGAAAATATCTGTTCGAAAATTCAAATAATTTTTTTATTATTTTTTTAATGATGTATTAATTTACCACAAAGAGAAATTTTTATTCTTGTATATTTTAAATATTTGTTTTTATTTAAAGCTTAGAACAGAAAAAGGAAATTTTGTGGCGTTAGAAAATAAAAATGTTGCTGTTAGGAAATTTTCAGGGAGATTTGTGTTTTTCCCTGAAATTGAATAAAACTCCCTGAAATTGAAAAAAACTCAAACAAATATTAAAGAAATTCCAAAATTGAGTCCTAAACATCAATTTCCTTGGGACTTGGGGAATGTGATAGAATGGTTGTGGAGCTTCCATATATATTTTTATAAGCCATCAAATATAGAAAACCTCCACATAAAAAATAATTTACCATTCTTTATAATTCCTCAGGAAAATAATCCACAATCCAAAAAAAGTTTTAAAAAAAGATTTAAAAAAAAAATTCTAAACATTTTTTTTTAAATTTTGATGTAATTTTTTGGATATACTAAATTTAAAAAATATATATTAAAAAATTCTAAGATTTTTAAAATCTTTTTAAATTTTTTATTTTAAGTTTTTAATTTTTTTTTTAGTTTGGATATTTTGTAAAGCTAATAATTAATATTTAGTTATTATTATCAGTTTCTAAACATTTTTTTAAATTTTGATGTAATTTTTTGGATATACTAAACTTGACCAGCGATCCAAAAAAAAAAATATATATCAAAATTTAAAAAATATATATTAAGAAATTCTAGGATTTTTAAAATCTTTTTAAATTTTTTATTTTAAGTTTTTTTAAAATTATTTTTTTTTTAATTTGGATTTTTTGTAAAACTAATGATTAATATTTAGTTATTATTATAATTTTGAATAGAAAATAACCCCCTTTGATTGGTTTCCCTGTCGCCCAGTGTAAATTACTATCTCATTGCATTTGACCGATAAAAATATCAAACGAAACTCTTTACAAAGCCATTAAAGAGCGCCAAGAGAGAACTTTTGGTGTCATGCTTGACTTACAACAATCAACAATTGGAATGCAAGCTAAGTGGTTGAGGTTGTGTTGTGTGGTTGTATCTTTACCTGTACACGAATAACAACAACAGCAACACCACTAGATAAATACCAGAAAACAGGTATTGTTTGGCTGATAACGCGAGAGAGAGAGAGAACGGACCACAAAACAACCATCCAAGCAAAAGGGGTAAACTCAGGTGAGCACACACATAGAAGTACTTTTCCGTCACTTTGATGGCAATAAAAGGTAATCAGTCAATAGCAGTTATGAAGTCAAATCAAACTCTTTGTCAAAAAATTTAAATTGGGAAGAGTTGGAGATCTTTGAGGTAGACATGCTCATCGAAGTTCGTTTTCGTAAAAATTAATCTCCCGTATGCTCTCTGTATTTGTACATATCTATAGGTGTTTTGCAAAGGTGAGAGTGAGAGAGTGTTGTCTGTTATTAAATCGTCTCTCATCATTTAATCAAGTTTGTTTATCAAAGAGTGGGGACTGATTCTCTTCAATCAAAACTACAACCTGTAGCCTCTGCCACATTTTGGGTGTAACAATTGAGTTACCCCAAAATGGACTTCGATTGTAGGTTATGTTATTATCGGGATGATTTATTTAAAAACAATAAATTTCAACAAATTTCTTATCCAAATAAATCCATAGAACCAACTGTACCCCAAAACTGCAGAGCATTAAACTTTCACATGTGGCAGGCATGATAAGTGATCAATGGGTTAATATTTCATTGGAATCAGGGAGAGAAGCGAAGTAAGAAGTGACTCACTGGTAATTGATTTCATTTCATATTTTTTTTATCAAAAATAGTAAAGCGAAATATCTGAAAACGTCATTGATTTTTTGTTGTTGTTTTTGTATTAGAATCTACAAATGTGTGGAACATTCTTTATGAATGAATGATTGGTTTTTTTTCTTTGTTTGTTTTTATTTTTTTTCAACGTTCTCTTTTACAAAATTTGCAGTGTACAAAACCGGTTTGGAAATTCCCCAAACAACAGAGTATTTTTTTTATAAACAAATTATTAACTAATACAGAGAAATAAGAAGAAGAAGAAAAAAAAAACAATAACAAATCAAAACTGGTTGCTAATCTATTGTTAAAACTCAGTTTCAGCTAAAAATCCATAGAAAAGATCTTCATTTGGCCTGGGGTAAAAATATGAATTTTCTTCATTAAATGGCTATTGATGTCTAGGCCGCTTACGGATTTGGTGATTAGTAATTTTCTTTTAATTGTTATTATTATTATAAATCAATTAAGGCAATTGTTTGATGTTTTCGGGAAGTTGAACATTAACAACTCGCGGATTTCTTGTCGCATCTGAAGACCTTTAACATATGCAAAATCAAAATTATTTATAAATTTTTAATCTAGGACGGATTTCCTCAAACTTCATTAAGTACAAGCTTAAATTTACTTTGCAGATGCAAAAAAAATCAATTTTTATTAAATTTAGTTTAAACCAGTAAAGAAAATATAAACATCGGGCGGAGCCGACTTTATGATAACCTATACCCCTTTGCATATTTAGCAGAGCTTCATATAACAAATACAAATTATATGGGAGCTATGGCTATATCTGAACCAATTTTCACCAAATTTAACATACTTGTTTCTAGGCTCAATTTGGTCGTAAGTGCCAAATTCGTAACGGGGCACAATGAAAGGCAATCGGACGAAGATTTAGACATGAGAGCTATATGCAAATCTGAACCGATCTCGATCAAATTTGGCAAAGGCATTTCTGAGCCATGTTTGATATATTCCCCAAATATCATTGTTACAGAGTGCATATTATGGCTGGGGAGGACAACAATATGAAATCGGATGAAAAATATATATATGGGAGCTATAGCTATATATGAACCGATTTCTATCAAATTTAGCACTCTTGTTTCTATGCTCAATTTGGTCGCAAGTGCCAATTTCCATCCCATTTGGGCTAATATTACACATTTGGTGCACAATAAAAGGCAATCGGATGAAGATATAGATATGGGAGCTATATCCAAATCTGAACCGATCTCGATAAAATTTGGCAAAGGTATTTCTAAGGTGTATTTTATATATTTCTCCAAATATCATTGTTACGGAGTGCATATTACGGCTGTGGAGGACAAAAATAACAAATCGGATGAGCAATATATATGAAAGCTTTAGCTTTATCTGAACCGATTCTTACCAAATTTGACATACTAGCTTCTAGACTCAATTCGGTCGTAAGTGCCAAATTTAATCCCATTTGGACTAATATTAGACGTTTGGTGCACAATAAAAGACAAATCGGACGAAGATATATATGGGAGCTATGACTAAATTTTGACCGATTATTTCCAATTTCAATAGAGTTCGATCTTGGGTCAAACAAATGATTTGTGCAAAATTTCATCTGGATCGGGCTATAAATGCGACCTGTACATTGCTTACAAAAATACATGGACAGACAGACAGACAAACGGACGGAAGATGGACATGCATAAATCGACTCAGAATGTGTTTTGAATTTTCTTTTAAAAACCTGAATTTCCCTTAGCAATGTCTGACAAGGTTTTTTTGGCCTAATATTACTGTGTTTTCCGAGTTATTTCTAAAACTGCAAGAAAGTTACAAAATCTTTGAAATTCCAGTGAAAACCTAATTTTTCAAAAGAGACATTTTTTGGATTTTCTGCTTTATATGATTGATTATGGTTTTTGTATGGCTTTAAATTGATCTTCCTAACTACTCTATCCCAATTTATTCCCTCCTGCCATTATTTTTACTATTTCTCAATTTCTAAATTTTCCAATTGTTTTTATGAAGCCAAAACGTTTATTGACTCCACTGATTTGTTTGTTATTTTTTGACTCAAAACAAAAAGCACAAAAAATGTGTTTTAATGTTTTTGTCAAAATTGCTTTTATACATATTTTCTACAACATTTTTTTGTCTTTTTTGTTGGCCTCTGCATTTGCTTTTTTGTCTTGGCCGTTTCTTTGGCCATTGGTGTGCTGCCGGTTTTTTTTTTTGTGACTTTCTTACTTATTGCCAAACAACACAACTAAAAATAACTTGGAGAGCAAGAAACAAAACGAAACAAATGACAGCGCCGGATAACCCAGCGCAAGAAGTCCATAGAAAAAAACTCAATAAAAAAAAAACAAAGTGAAATAAAAAAATTTTGAATATAAAATGGAAATGAGTTTTATTTTTTGTTTCTTTGACTTCAATCAAAAAATGCGTGCACTGAAAAATGATCGGGTGTAAATGAAAGACCACTAGAAAAAAAAAACAAAACAAATAGAAAAAGATTTCCAAAATGTGATAAGACGCTGCTAACTAATGAAGAACTTAATTAAAAAAATTCATAATTTCAAAATATTTTCGAAAAAATAAAGATAAATAAATAGATAAAACGCAAAGAAAAATATGGTTCAAGGTTGGGTAATAAATATAAAAATTTATTTTCATGTTGCCGGTATGCAAATGGGAAGTTGCCGGAGAGGAGGAATTTAAAAATAATTTTTTTTGGTTTGGTAAGCTGAAAAATGGGCAAATTTCGAAATGATTTTTAATTCATTTAAAGGACAAAGTTATGGCACCTAACTATGAAGCTAAGTAATTATACAGGGTGAGATGAGAAAATTGCAACCAACTTCGGACTGCTGTCATTTCTAAGACACTCGTCCGACAGCTTTTAGAATTATTCCAGTGACAGCTCATTATATTTTTTACAAGCGTACCAAAGCATTTTGGTGAGAATTTTCAAGAAAAAAAAGTTATTGGCGATGGAATTCCAGCGTGATAGTGTGATTTCTTTATATTTGGCTGGAAAAGCACAAGTGGCTATCGTTGGAGCACTACAACATTTAAATGTGAATAAATATTTGGTGTCGCTCGTTACCGTGATACTGGTAGCGTAATCCGACGTCAAGGAAGTGGACAGAAGAAAAAAGCAACATCAACAAAAATGGTTCGAAAAGCAAAGAAGCGACTTGATCGAAACCCTCGTCGCAGTGGCCAAAAAATGGCTCGTGAGCTGAACATATCACAATATTCCATTCGGTAAATATTGAAAAATGAGCTCGGGGTAAATACATTGAAATTCCAAAAAGTGCAAGAACCTACACCGCAACAGAGAGAAAATAGATTAAAAAGAGCTAAAGAGTTGCTTCACTTGGCCGAAAGTGGTGAACTGCCGAATTTGGTTTTCTCCGATGAGAAAACATTCATTGTCCAGCAGTTTGTAAACAAACAAAATGATCGTGTTTACTTGCCAAAGAGGTCTGACAAGCTGAAAATGTGCACCTTCGGTTGGCCACCAGAACTCAAGCTATCAATTTTTTGTTTAATTTCTTTGATTTTTTTTTTATTTTTTTTAATGATATAATATATGTTATTGATATAACATGGATGGCCAATATTTTCCCTATCCTCTCAAAATCTTGAGTCTTGTTGTCTCCAATTGCATATTTTGTAAAGCTATTTTTATTGCTATTTCCCAAAGACCTGGGGGAAAGCGGAAATACTTTGAGAATAATTTGAATTTATTTATCTAAAAAACTTCCATGAGATGTGATTTGTAATATCTCTATAAATATATTAATTAATTGTGGCCTTACTGGGAACTTATTTTTCTACTCCCGTCCCTAAATATTCGATTTTTATAAATTAAAAAAAAATTAACAAGAATTTACTTTCAATCCCTAAGGATATTTATTTATTGGCTCCAATTACTTTATCGGGATTTGAGTGAGAAAAACGTTTTTCAAATAATCGATTTTTTTATGGAAGAAAAGTATGCAGGTGTCAATATCACCAAAGAATGTTGGGTTTTCCGAAGTATGCAAGAGTTTTTATCAGAGAAATTATTTACGATTAAAAATACCAAGGACAGGGATTTTCTTAAAATGATTTTTCTATAAAAAAAGAAGTATATATTTTGAGAAAAATCAAAAATCCTGTTGGGATTTTTTCATTCTTAGGGAGGATATTTTTTTATAAAAAAATAAATCGGGGGATGGGAGTCTAATTTCTCTTTTTTAAGTAGAATCATTTTGTAAAAATTTCCTCTTCGTGACATTTTTTTATTTATAGGACAAAATTTTTCTGATAAAAATCCCTGCATTGTTTGGAAAATCCAACTTTATTTGTTAATATCGACTTTTTGATTTTGTACATTTTCACTAACATTTCCACAAGATTGATTCACCCAAATATTTTTAATAAAAAATAATAATAAAATTTATTTCATATTTAACTCAACATTTCATTAGACTTTATCCAAGTTTTTGATTACGTTTTACGGTTCCTGTTAGGAAAATTATTATTTAATAGACTTTTTTAATTAGAAAATTATCCTTGAGAGCAGAAGCGACAATTATTTTTCTGGATTTTATATTATTTTGAGATAAGTTATTTTTAAATTTTAATTTGGTAACATGTTGGGCTTTAATTTGAAAGTTGGCAAAATATATGTTTTTATTCCAAAAAAAACATGATGTAGTTTTCTTCAAAATTTAAAAAAAATATATATTTATAATGGACATAAAAATTATGTTCCCCTTGAGTTCAAAGTATTTTTTTGTTATAAAAAAAAAATATTTCTTTTGTATTTTTCTTAATTTTCTTAAAAATATAATTTGTTTAACACTAACCATTTAATTTTCCAATCCGTTGTATTTTTTTTCGAATATTTTTTTTTTTGGTCAGCACGTGAGTGTCAAGTAAACTACAGTTGTTGTTGTTGGTGGGGCTGGGAGGTGATGGAGTCGTCTACTCAGACATTGACACACTACCACTAATTTATAATTGGCTGTTTGTTACACGCAACAGCAACTCAAACGAAAATATTCACAATAAAGGTGAAATATTTTGGTAAAAATTATTTTATTTATTTAGCTGTTTTGTTTGTTATTTTCTTTTTCAAAATTCAATTAGAATTCGTGATCCTCAATTAATGCACTGTTAAATTCTTCAGCCGAACAAAGACACAAATGCCTTTGTCTTTGGAGAATTCTCTTTGATTAATATTCTTGTTTTTTTTTTTATTTCTTTTTGCTCTGTTCACTTCACACTTGACCCGCTGTTATTTCGTTCATTCGCTTCTTGCCAAAAACGTTCTTAACACGTTCGTTATCGTTAAACAACTGTCTTTTTGTTTGGCGGCCGTTAAAACTCAAACCTCGAAAGCGAGAAACGCACACAAAACTCATACGCCACCAATTTGGCTCTCATCAACACAGCACATGAGGCTCTCTCTCGCTCTTACTCTTTCAGTAAACGAATAAGGGAGTGTGGCTGTGTGTGTGTGATTATTGTTTCCTTTTCCTCACTTGTTTTCCGTTGTTGTGTGTGTGTTTTGTTGTTGTTTTTTATTTAACACTGCACAAGAAACTGGTTCTCATTACTTCACCAATCGACCAAACAAACAAACAATTCGTTTAGCTGCTCTTTTGTTGTGTCTTGGAATAATGTTGCTCTATCGACGTAGACGTGAGTTTTCAATTCATTCGCTGCGTCCGAACTGCGACGCCTTTGTGTTCTGAATACGTTGCTGTTTTCGTATTAACTGAATCGCTACGAACAAGAACATTCAATACAAATACATGGTACGCAATGTGTTGCAACATCATCAATCGTATGCAAGCTGTGGCTTGTTCTCTGGCAACATTTGTGCCTTGCGATGTTGACAAGAGAACTCTTGCGATGTTGACATGAGTACTCTTATGGGGAGAAATAAACATTGTATGTGGTTAGTAGGGAATGCAGTTGGGGAAAGAAATTTGATGAGAATGGGACATAATGATTAACAAATTCTCAAAATACAACCTTTCGGGGGTAATATTATTATATATATTTTTTTTTTAATAAAAGACAAAAAATCGAGAATTCATTGCTTTCCATGTCATAATCAGGCAATGAGAAAAGTTTATCCTGAGGAAAACATTTCATAAACTAACAAGTAAAAAACGCCAATAGCCGGGAGGACCGATTATTTGATCGAAACCCGCGTCGCAGTGGCCGAAAAATGGCTCGTGAGCTGAACATATCGCAATATTCCATTCGGCAAAGATTGAAAAATGAGCTCGGGGTAAAGCCATTAAAATTCCAAAAAGTGCAAGAACTTACACCGCAACAGAAAGAAAATAGACTCAAACCAGCAAAAGAGTTGCTTCGCTTGGCCGAAAGTGGTGAACTGCCAAATTTGGTTTTCTCCGATGAGAAAACATCCGTTGTCCAGTAGTTTGTAAACAAATTAAAGGATCGTGTTTACTTGCCAAAGAGGTCAGCTGAAAATATGCACGTTCGGTTGGCCACCAGAACTCAAGCGCTGGCCATGGTGATGGTGTGGGCCGGCATAACAGCCGATGGTATCTCTCCGCTCGTATTAATCGACCGGCATCAGAATAAATGCAGATTATTATCGCGAAAATATTCTGGAGGGTGTATTAAAGAGTAATTTCTTTGTCATAGATCTTCAAATACGAAATTTGAAACAATTTCTGTAAATAATGTCGCTAAAATCAACAAAATACTGAAAATTGGGATGTACTGTTATATACTTTGTTGGGTCTGACATAAGTATTTCGAGGAGTTATAAACGGAATATAAAAATAGGGACTCTACGGAAATATTCTTGGTAGTAAATGTTCAGGAAAAATCTCGGGCTTTAATATCAGATGGTACTGGGAATTTCTACTTTTCGTTAAAAAACATAAGTTGAGTAACTCAAAAAAAAAATCCTCTCAGAATCGTAAACTCTCTACATCTCATCCTATGGAATCGAAAATAAATAAATTTTATAGAAAATATGTCTAGTCAAAACATTATCCAAAGGAAGATAATAATATTCTCAAAATATTGCCACACTGAGTCATTAATTCATTCAAACCACAAATGTTTTCATTTAGCAACAGGTGTTCATTTCCCCTTTGTTGCTAAGAGATTTCTTTGGAAACATCTTTTCACAACAATGTTGCAGATGCCTAACGATTAAGAGAAATGTTGCCCACACTTTTGTAATACTCAGCTCTCTCTCTCTCTCTCTTCATTACAACATTTCAAATGAAAAGAGAATCAAACATGTTTTCGTAATTCCAATAAGAATGGAGTGTAAGTGTTAAAGAATTTTTGTAATGGCAACATGTTGCGAGTGATTGTCATGTCTATTACAACATGTTGTTATGTTGATTGTTTTGAAAAGGAAAACGAAAAAACAAATGTTGTAAATGAAATGTTCCTGTAACCAAACGAAAGCGAAAATGTTTTGGCAATGCGAATGAGGCCATTCAACTATTTGTTGCCAATGACTTGTAAAAGGATGTAGGATAATGTTTCAATGGACGGAGGAAAAATGTTGTCAGTTTTTTTGTTGACATGATAGATTTGAGGACGAATATGTAGCTATACAAGGAGATAAGAAAAACATTTTTTGAAGTACTATCCGGGCCATAAATGCAGATTGTTTTATGAAAAATGTTGAAAATACATCAGATGCATAAATTTGATTTTAAAAGCAATACTTTGCAGAAGTTTTGAAGAAATATCATAGCAATTATTGCAAAATAATTATTTAATTATCTTTTAAAACTTAAAAATATTCTCTCATAGCTCTTCCAAAGAAAACTTGTAAAAACTGGCTCGGTGAGTCCATCAAAATATTGCTTTAAAACCCTTTCAAAGCCAAATATTTTAACAAAAATTATTTTGATCGACCAGAGGTTTTAATGCCTATATTCAAAAGCATTTCTTTGAGAGAGACCATGAGACCACTTTACGTGTTTTTAATGAATTTATTAAAGGTCCATGAGCATGATATTTGAAATCATTTAAAAGGGAAATCAACCACAAAAGTGGAATACATTATGGAGGACTCTGTCAGAGCCATAAATGTAGATTTTAATAGCAAGTTCTTGATTAGTTATAAGATCCATTAAATTGATTTTTTTTTAGTAATTCTTAAGGACTATCACAGCTTTAAGCATGTAGTATATGTCATTTTCTGAGGCTAAAACCGTGGATTTTTGAAACAATTGCTTGAGGGCTATTGGAACTACTAACGAAGATTTCGATCAATTTCCTAAAGCTGTGACTTCCAAGACAGTTTTCGAAGTACTATCAGAGCTTTTAATGTAGATTTTTAAAGTAATGTTTAAAGCCACACATGTGAACTTAAAAGCAATTTTTTTAAGAGCTATCAGAGCTGTTTGAGCCTGGTTTCAATTATTTGAAGGATCATCGGTGATAATTACGGTCTTATGGAGAACTGTGGGAGGTATAACCGTGGAATTTTTAAGACAATTTTTGATGTTGGATTTTTTATTTTTTTTTTAAGGGCTATTAGAGCTATGAACTTGAAATTTTTAAATAAATTTTTTTGAATATATATATTTTTTTCAAATAAAGCGGTTTTTTTGAAAAATATAAACATAATTAAAAACGAGGATTTTAAAGGCATTTTTTGGAGGGCAATTGGAGATGTAATAGTAGACATTTAAGCAATTTTTGAAGGTATATAAGGAATATTAATGGAGACTTAGAATTTTCTAAGGACTATCACAGCTATTAAATTCGATTTCTTAAGAAATATTTTATTAAAAAATTTAAGTTAAGTTTAAGTTATTATTGGAAAGTTTTTTATAAAGCAATTTTTCTACAGATCATCAGAGCTATTAATATATATATATATATTTTTTTTTTAATATTTTTGAAGGATTTTCAGGTGTGATATTTTGGATTTATTACAAAACATTTTCAGAGCCCTTAACTTGGATTTTTGGAACATAATTCTAGGGATTATCAGAGCAGGACACATTGACTCGTTTGTGCGTTTATATCATATTCAATAGAGAAAAGTTATACAACAATAATATAACAAAAAAGTGTGCTGGGTGAGAGTAGTATGTGCTCGATTTCCAAGGAATTTTGCTCGCACTCAAAAACGGAGAAAAATGCTATCTTATATTCTTCTATACAAAAAATGGGTTTGCTATATTGTTTTTTTTGCGCTCCCGCTCTAATTCGAGTGAGCTTCACTCTTTGAACAAAATCGAACGAGTTTTTCGGAGGTCTACGTTCATTTGAAGAAATATTTCGTTATTTGGCACATGGAAGCCTTTGGAGAGTAGGAACTTTGTTTTAAAGAAGAATAATCTACATATATCTATCTCAAATAATGACAACATTTTATTATATAAATTTGCAATATATTTTTTTTAAATTATATAATTCCTCGAATACTTTTCCCATGGGAAATCAGCTTCAATATTTGATTGCCCATTTAAAATTTAATGAGATTTTTCATTTTGAAAGATTTCCAAACGAGTGATGGTGGACCCTTATCACGCCTTTTTTGTAATATGTCATGTCTATAACAGGCTTAAAACAAAACATATCCATATCAGAGAGCATATTTTTTTTTTCATATTCTCTTTCTATCAATGAGAATTTGCTGTGAACATATCACCCAGATCGAAAACCCGAACGTCGTAACAGGTGCCGGCTGTCTATCAATTTTTGTATTTGTTTGGCCATTTATGTAGAACAACATTTTGCTGTCAAACTGTCAGAGTTTTCGAGTTTTCAGTGAATGGAAAATGGAGAAAGTTACCTTGAGAAGCCAGGAAGAAAAAAAAAAGAGGAAAAATAAAACAAATAAGAGAATTTTGTTTTAGGTGAATTAAAAAACGCATTGATGTTGATACGTTTTTTTTTTCAGAAAATAAAAATTGTGGGTAGATAGAATAGGGGGAAATAGGGTATATTATGCGGGATAAAATTTGGAAGAACAAAAATGCTGAAAAATAAAACTATGAAGAAATCCATAGCCTTAACATCAAAACAATACGGAAAACGTTATTTGAACTAGAACTGCCATAATTTTAAAATCAGACAAAAAATTTCAAGAACTGTAAATTAGGCTTTTGTCCGAGAGGGGTGAAGAAAACGTGAAGTTTTCCTCATTTTCTCCAACTTTACACAGATTTACACTTCCTATCTTTTCTATGTCAAAAGTAATTTTCCAAACCTAATTTCTTGGCTTTAAGTTTTTCCGAACCTTTCGCAAGCTAATTTTTGTAAGTCCGAATGCATAATCAAAAATTCGTCTCCTGGTTTCAATTTATTACAAAATCTTTCGCAAGGAAAATTTCAAAAGTGGACTGCCACCGCGAAACAAAGTTATGGAGGAAATCCTGAAAACACCCTGTAATTAAATGAATGCCCTGGGAGGTGACATAACCACCAAAATATACTCCCCCCGTATTTTCTACGGTTTTTACTTAATTACATAGTCTCATTTGCACAATGTTTATGGCTATTCTAACAATCCAAACAATAACAACAACATCAACCATGATTTTAAACCCAACATTTCGCCGTCCATATTTCAAAACCTCATCATCAAATAACAGTTGAAATGCCATTTGTGTGAAATTGACCCCGATGCCCTGGCCGCTCTTTAGTCAGTCGCTGTAGGTGTAACCCAAATGTAACGCCTTATGATCGATTTTTTGCTACCCCACCCCACCTCCTCCCTCTCCCACTCTTTCTCTCC